ATATAGCTCACTAGCAGCCTCGAACCGATGACCTATCCACGTCATCATTTACCCAGAATGCTTTGCATGTAATTAAAATGGACCTGTCCATGTAATATATTTTTAAACTTTTAGTTTAAAAATGATACAAACTGAACATCCTACAGTGTTTTTACAGTCTTTATTTTACAGTTAAAATATGTTTATTAAACAAAGTCTAATATTACAACTAATCATGGATCCCTTTAAACATGCACAAAAAGTTTAAGAAAGATAATTAACAGTAAAAGTTCCGGAGTGAACTTTCTAAAGCTGCCAGYAGCCGCCATCTTTAAATCGAAACTGGGGGCAGTTTAATTTCTTCCACAATACGAGTGGAATATTACCACTGGAGGGGGCATTCCAGTTTAAAACTACCAATGGGAACAGGATTACCACTTCCCAGGACTACTGGAACACACTGTTGCTGAACAACCCCACATAGACCTTAGTTAAATCCAGGTAGACATTTATTTATTCATTAATTTTTTTATTTTTGCCGAGCAGTGTATTTAATCACAGGAATAATGTGTCCTGGATGACTGAAACATTGGTGAAGACCAAGATCACAAGCCCTGCTCTCTGAAAACAATATGTAAAGATGGCTTTTGTTGGTACAGTAGTCCCTGGAGCTCTTTTTCGTGTCTAACCAGGTCAGACAGTATCGTTTCTTCACGCTTTAGGTCTTTGTTATTTACCAGCATATGATTTAATCTGAGAAGAGTCTTTGTGGTTCCAGACTTTTTACAACCATCTGTCTTTGAGGCCACCGAGCTCTATGAACCACCAAAAGCTTTGTTTTCCTTTCTTTTTCTCTTGTCAAGTTTCCAAACCTCACCACGGTTTTGTCACAAATGTCCACGAGACATTTTGGCTTTGCTTTCGTCCCATAATTCACAAAGAATGATGGGATATCAGACACAAGAGCTTCTAAACTCAATCCAAGCTGTTAATTTTACCACAGGGGGATTTTGGTCTGAGTCTAGACCCACATCCAGGGTAATTAAAATAAACAGGAGGCACGTCCAACAACTCTGAGCAATGACTTTGATAATTAAGCACGAACATGACGGAGTGTAAAATGTGAGTGGCGTAGCATTTTATTTAGTTTTTTTTAATGCTTCAAATTATCTTTGTTTGGACTGAAAGCAAACTTTCCTTTTCCCTCACAGAATCCTCTTTCCTATCAGAGTTGCCTCCCTTCCTCCCTGTTCACCTCCTATGGCTTTCATGCATGACCACCCGGTGTGCTGCTGCTTATCTCGAACTTTATGGTAAAAAAGCAACGTGTGTGTGTGTCTGTGTTTGTGTCAAGAGGAAGTCAGCGGTGCTAGCCTATGCCAGCCCCTGCAGATCGTTGCCTGGTGCATTGTGCCCTCAGCTCGCTGTCTGTCATCACTCCAACAATGGTTGACTGTCYGACCCCTCCAACACACACACACTTTTGTTTCAAGGCAACAAGACGCATGTTTGTGCGCAGTTGAGTAAAAGGTGTGGCACACACGAGTGGAAAACAATGCAAATCCTTTTCATTTTTGCTTTCCTGTGAGTTAGTTTTTACTTGAATGCAGTGGCGGATCCAGGATTTTTCTGAGTAAGGGGCCATCAAGGGGCCACAATATTCATAGAGGGGCCAAGCATTTGTTCAGCATCCTTGCATTTAAATCCCTGGTTTTGGTAAGGTGTATACATTTTACCAGTAATATTTTCAAACGCTTATAATGTAATGTCATTATAAAAAGCTTGAACAGTTAATTATCCGTAGCAATTTTACATTTATTTTTACTGTACATAAATAAATCTCAAACACACAGCATATGAGAAAATGCAGCCATAATTTGTCAGATGAAAGACTTTTTCTGCAAGATTGTTCAGATTTTCTTAAAGGCACAGTGTGTAGGATTTTGTCAATTCTTTTAGCCGAAATTGAGATAATCACTAATGACAATAATAAAAAACATGTCTAATCATTGCAGACAAAGACCTTGTTTTTTATGTTTACCTTATAAAAAGCTGTTTATATCTCCATGGTCGCGGGTCACCAGTAGGGCTGTGTATTGGCAAGAATTTGGCGATACGATACATATCATGACAGAGGGGTCACGATACGATAT